AGGAAATTAATGGTGCCCCCACCTTGGACCCTCAGCTGCAAGAGAACAGTGGGGTCCCTTTGAAGTTGTTACCTGGCTGTCATGTTCTCAAAACCAAAGATTGCAAACCAGCAGTCTGGGTTCCAGACCCAGCCTACGTATGAGTTTTGTTTGGTCTGAAAGTGTTGAGCCAGCATTTTATGTTTTATTTTTTTAAGATTTTTCAGATGTGGACCATTTTTTAAAGTCTTTATTAAATTTGTTACAACATTGCTTCTGTTTACATTTTTTTGGTTTTTTGGGCACAAGATAAGTGGGATCTTAGCTGCCTGACGGGATTGAACCTGCACCCCTTCCACTGGCAGGTGAGGTCTTTTTTTTAAAAAAAAAAAAAAGCTTTTTCATCTTTTCCACCAACAGAATTTCCATTTCCATGTTGACTATTCATTTAGATTTTAGGTGAACAGATGAAGATTGTGAGAGTTTTGTTTTCAACAACTAAAGCTCTGCCCATCGCTGGCCTAGTGTATTCACATGTGGTTCAACACATACTAGGTTGGGCCTTAAATATGCTCCAACCACATGATCTTCCCAAGCTATCCTAAAAGGGTGAAAGGGACTGAGCCCTGCAGTGCTTTCATCTCTTGCTCCTCCAGCCTTGTTCACCCTGATCTGTGCCCTGGGAAGCCAAGCTATGATGACCAGGCACACAGTTCCCTTTTCTACGGGCTCTCAGTTTGATTTGGCCAATGGCAGAAACTGGCAGACTGGAGAATGAGCAGAGAGTGAGACTGAGGTATTTACTCCCCTGACTCACTCCCTGCCAGGCTGTCATCATGTCTCTCAGCTGCTGTCAGGTCCCTAACTTCATAGCTACCTTCTCCCAGGTTCCAATAACCATTTTTTTCTTATCCGAGGCTCAGTTGGTAAAGAATCTGCCTGCAATATGGGCGAACCCAGTTTCAATCCCTGAATCGGGAAGATCCCCTGGAGAAGGGAAATGCTACCCACTCCAGTATTCTTGCATGGAGAATTCCATGCTCAGAGGAGCCTAGTGGGCTATAGTCCATGCGGTTGCAAAGAGTTGAACATGACTAAGCAACTCACAGCATCAGGCCTGTAGGAGAGAAATGGCTTTTCTCTGTTGCTATCTCTGAAGGCTGGGACTATCCTTTATTGCTATCCCTAAACTTAGCCCAAACCACTGTAAATAGCCCCTTATTCATTCTCTCAAATAACACCAGTCTGAATATGCCATCTGGTTCCTTCCAGGACCCTGAAGAAGCTGTGAATCTAGTCTCAAAACACCAGAAAGCAAGTCACACTGAACCAAAGTGTCAGGTGTTGTAGGAATAGCTGCAGTGACTAAACAATACTTCTTTACCAGGAGAGTATAAGGGCAACTGTTACAACTGGATTTATGCTACAAACCAATCAAGGGGAGAATGAAGGCTTTAGAAAGAAAATGAGAATATTAACAAGAAAAATCTAGCTGAAAAATATTTTATAATCCTATGCAAATATCATAAGTCCACCAAAATGCATCTTTTTTCTGCTCCTACGATCACTGAAGAACATCATGAAATGAGAAAAAGAGGGAGGTAAAATTCCTGAATCTTATTTAATAGAAGAGCTGAGAAAAATGGACACATTTTGATGAACAAAGCACTGGAGCCCATGGAAGCTTTAGTGTATTCAAAGCTGTACTCTTACTACATCATAGAACCTAACACAGAAATGTAAGTTTATTTAAACAAAAACATTTCACTGTATATATTGCACAGGTTCTCCCAAAAGGCATAAAAATTCTGGACCCCATGTCCAATTCCCCAGCCTGTGTGGTCCTGCATCAGGAAGATTATTGCCTAGAGCAGTAGTCCCCAAGCTTTTTGGCACCAGAGACTGGTTTCATGGAAGACAATTTTTCCATGGACTGGCAGGGGAGGGGGTAAGTTTTGGGATGATTCAAGTGCAAATGATTACATTTACTGTGCACTTTATTTCCAGTCTAATGCTGCTGCTGATCTGACAGGAGGTACCAGTCTGTGGCCCAGAGGCTGTGGACCTCTGCCCTAGAGCATTTGACTTTGAAGGCTGCTGCTAAGTCACTTCAGTCATGCAGGGCTTAATTTCAGGAACTTCACAGTATTGGGGGAAATAGAGACTTCACTCTTAAAAGGTCTACACAAAATTTCACATACAACCAGGACCTAAGACAAAAGCAGCAATTTGACAGGAACCCGAGCCAGACCTCCCTGCTTGTCTTAGGAGAGTCACCTAGAGAGATGGGAGGCAGCTGCAGCTCACCAAGGGGATATAGACACTAGTCACAGCCACGGTGGGGACCATTCTACCCATGAATACTGCTGCTGGCAGCACAAAAGAGCCCAAATAGCAAAAACAATCTTGAGAAAGAAGAACAGAGCTGGAGGAACCACATGCCTTAACTTCAGACTATATTACAAACCTGCAGTAATCACAAGCTGGAATCAAGATTGCCGGGAGAAGTATCAATAACTTCAGATATGCAGATGACACCACCCTTATGGCAGAAAGCAAAGAGCAACTAAAGAGCCTCTTGATGAAGGTGAAAGAGGAGAGTGAAAAAGCTGGCTTAAAATTCAACATTCAAAAAACTAAGCTCATGGCATCCAGTCCCGTCACTTCATGGCAAATAGATGGGGAAACAATGGAAACAGTGACAGACTTAATTTTCTCGGGCTTCAAAATCACTGTGGATGGTGACTCCAGTTATGAAATTAAAGGACCCTTGCTCCTTGGAAGAAAAGCTGTGACAAACCTAGACAGTGTATTAAAAAGCAGAGACAATCCTCTGCCAACAAAGGTCCATATAGTCCAAGCTACCATTTTTCCAGTAGTCATGTATGGATGTGAAAGTTGGACCATAAAGAAGGCTGAGCACCAAAGAACTGATGCTTTCAAACTGTAGTGTTGGAGAAGGCTCTTGAGAGTTCCTTGCACTGCTAGGAAATCAAACCAGTCAGTCCTAAAGGAAATTAACCCTGAATATTCATAGGAAGGATTGATGCTGAAGCTGAAGCTCCCATATTCTGGCCACCTGATGTAAAGAGTAGACTCATTGGAAAAGACTCTGATGCTGGGAAAGTTGAAGGCAGGAGGAGGAGGAGACGACAGAGGATGAGATGGTTGGATGGCATCACCAACTCAGTGGACATGAGTTTCAGCAAACTCCCGGAGATGGTGAAGGACAAGGAATCCTGGCATGCTGCATGCAGTCCATGGGGTCACAAAGAGTTGGACATCACTGAGTGACTGAACAACAACAGTAATCAAAACAGTGTGGTACTAACACAAAAACATATAGATCAGTGGAATAGGACAGAAAGTCCAGAAGTAAACCCACATACTTAATCAATAATAATCAACTTGAACTTTGACAAAGATGGCAAAAACATACAATGGAGAAAAGACAATTTCTTCAATAAGTGAAAACTGGACAGCTACATTTAAAAGGATGAAATTATAACATTCTGTCACACCACATACAAAAATAAACTCAAACTGAATTAAAGGCCTAAAAGTAACACCAAAACCCTAAAACTCTTAGAAGAAAACATAGGCAAAACACACTTTGATATAAATCACAGCAATATTTTTTGGGTTCATCTCCTAAATTAAAGGTGATAAAAGCAAAAATAAATGGGACCTAATTAAACTGAAAAGATTTTGTGCAGCAAAGGAAACGACTGAAAAACAAAAAGACAACCTACTGAAAGAAATATTTGCAAATGACATGAGTGATAAGGGATTAATAACCAACACACATAAACAGCTCAAAGGACTCAATATAAAAAATAAACCCAATTTAAAAATGAGGAGAAGAACTTGATAGCCATTTTTCCAAAGAGGACATGCAGATGGCTAATAGGAACATGTAAAGAAGCTCCACATTGCTAATAGTAGAGAAATACAAATCAAAAGCACAATGAGATGTCACCTCACACTTGTCAAAATGACTATCAACAAAAATAATACAAATAGCAAATGTTGGTGAGGATGTGGAGAAAAGGGAACCTTCATACATTGTTGGTGGGAATGTAAATTGGTGCATCCACTGTGGAAAACAGTATAGAGGTTTCTCAAAAAACTAAAAATAGAACTACTATATGACCCAGCAATTCTACTCCCAGTATTACTGAAAAAAATTTAAAAGTCACTAATTAAATAAGATGCATGCACCTCAGTGTTCACAGCAGCATTATTTACAACTGCTGAGACGTGAAAGCAACCTGAGTGTCCATCAACAGATGAACAGATAAAGAAGAAGTGGTACATACATACAACGGAATACTACTCAGCCATAAAAAGAAAATAAAATTCAGCCATTTATAGCAACACGGATGGACTTAGAGGGCATATACTAAATGAAATACACAGAAAGATACAATACATACTATCAGTTATATGTGGAATCTGAAAAATACAACAAACTAGTGAATATAACAAACTAGTGAATATAACAAAAATGAAGCAGACTCACAGATGTAGGGAACAAACTAATGGTTACAACTGGAGTCAGGTGGGAGAGGCAACATGGGGGGAGAAGTGAGAGGTACTAACTATTGGCTTTAAAATGGGCTCAAAAAATAAAATAAAATAGGCTCAAGGATGTGTTGTACAACAGGGCAATATAGCCAATATTTTTAATAACTATAAATGCAAAGTAACCTTTAAAAACTATATTTTTAAAATTAAAATAAAAATAAATTCACTGAAAACCAGAATTCCATATTAACACAATTATGATTTGCCCTATTCTCCTTCCTTTAAATCTTGTATTTCAATAAACAACACCATTTTTATGTGACAATGGGCTTTTCACTTAAACTAAGGACTTTCTCCTGAACATCCTCTGATTTTTCTCTGGTTACCTCTCAACCTTCCACAGTCCAAAAAGTTCCTATTGAGATAATGGTCTTAACAACCTCATTTGCCCAGAGAAGCCATTTAATTCACCTTCCAAATCTACTTGTACTCACCCTTCTTAATTTTCTCTTCTCTTCCTTTTTCACTTCCTCCTACTCTCACCCAAGGACACCTTAAAAAAAAAAAAAAAAAGTTCAGCTTGAAATATACATTGAGATCTCATCCATATTCTGTACCAATTTCCAGACCATAAAACTCCTTATTGGCAGAGACAGTGTTCTATGATAATGCCTAAAATAGTCCCTTTTACCTTGTGCTTAAAATAAAGCACACCTTGAAAGTACTTTCAGCTTCATGCAAATACAGAAGTCAAAGAGGCCAAAAGAGGGGTCCCTCTTCTTTTCCCCTTTTGTAAGTGAACACAAAGATTCTTTTCACGGGGACACCTAAGAGAGAAAGCTAGCTTCAGGATTTGGTAAGAGTGGCATCAGGGAAGTGAGGGGGGCTGAGGTATCCCCGATGACTCAGTGTTTAAACCATGCTGGAATGTGAAGCCGACTATAACCAGCGCCCAGCTCACACCACACTGATGGCCAAGGCGACTTCTGGTCCAAAGAGTCACAAACCTGAGCTACTGTCTTCCGAGGAGGCCACCCGCCGCTCCAGCAGCCAGCTCGGCGCATGCACCCCAGGCCTGCCACTCCTCGCTAACCTCCTCCTGCCCCCACCACGTTGTTTGCTGCCATGCAGAGGAGAGACACTCAGGAAGGAACTGCTGAGTATGCCCGAACAAGGATGACTTCACCCATTCCTTCAGTTTGAAAAGTCCACTCTCCTGACCCTGATGATGACCGATTTCCATTTACCCTTTGGCGTCTGAGTCTGGGCAGCGGGCAACTCATGGCCGTGCAGCCTCAGATTAGCACAGTCACTATATCATGACTCATCAGCAAAGAACTTTCCCATCAGAACCTAATTAGAGTTCCCTATATCCCTGTGAGGTAAGCGGGTATGCTCTCCTGCAGGTTATAAGGAGGAAATTGAGGATGAAGAGGTTACCGGCTCTGTGAAAGGTTATTAAGGGTGTCTGCCAGGGATGAAGTCATTACGCAGTCATCCCGGTTCAGTCTTTCCACTCACTATGGATCCAGGCCTTTTTCTTGTGCTGTGACCACCTTATCATTCTCTGGACTTTTGTGATGGTGCAGAGTCCAGCAGATACATGCATTTCAAAAGGAAAAACAGGTATTATGGTATACCCTCCCGGTGGCTCAGTAGTAAAGAATCTCCCTGCCAATGAAGGAGACAAAAGAGACGCAGGTTCAACCCCTGGGTCGGGAAGATTCCCCTGGAGTATGATATGGCAACCTGCTCCAATGTTCTTGCCTGGAAAATCCCATGGACAGAAAAGCCTGGAGGGCTACAGTCTATAGGGTCAAAAAGAGTCAGACATGACTTAGCGACTAAACCACAAGAAGAAAATGTGCCCTTGCTAAATACTTCAGATGTCTCTTCCCATAATAACTCATATTAGAAGTCCTCTCTCAGATACTTTTCAGTAAAGGTATCTTGTTAGGTAGAATTAATACTGTCTCCTGGAAAGAGGGTTCAGAATAAAACATCTGCATCCTTTTCCTGAGAAAGGGACAATAAGGTTCACTCCTGCAACTTCAGAGGCACAAGCCAGCACACAGGCAGCCTTGGAGTTCAGGGTCATTGCCTGTTCAGGTTTGTGAACTTCCCAGAGCACAGTGATGGCACAGTCTCCCCAACACACTTGGGCCAGGCCCTCTTGGTCCGCAGCACGCTTTATGTCTCTGATGGGTTTCCTAGGGCAGGGACACAGCAAATACGGCAACTTCCTCTACCACCGGCCTTTCTGACTTTGCCAAAGAGAACCAGGATTGTCTGCTTCCAGGGGAGAAGCACGTTTCAACCACCAAAACCATGTTCTTTTTGCTTTGCCAGTTTTGCTTCCTCCTCCTAGCTCCAGATGAGGACCCGTCCCACGTTTCCAGCTTTTATGTTATTACTATTTACTTTCCCACAGTGTGATTACTGTTACTTTCCAGAGGGACCAGATTTGTGCTCACACGTTCTACTCCCACTCCTTGTTGATTTCTAAGTCACCAGACCCATCCCTGATCTGAGGATGCTGGACTGTATATTTCTGCCATTTTACATAGTATGAATTGGAGTAGATTACTATTTCATTTGGGGAATGACTAGTTCAGAAAGACAATAAAACATGCTCTAATGCCACAGTAATTAAAACAGTGCAGCAGCAGCATTTGAGTAGACAGACAAATGGAACAGAATAGAAAGTCTGGAAAACAGACTGAAATACACCAGAGAAAATGGTTAATGGTTATATGGGAAAAAATGGCATCTAAAACCAGTAAGATAAGAATAAACTTTAAGAAACTGAATTGGGATAACTGGGTACATACCTCATACTGCACACACAGAAAGCCATAAATGTTCTAGAAAAGAAAATTTGAACACAGACTGGTACTGGATAATCTTAAGGAATCACTGGTATAATAATGAAATAGAAGTTATGTCCTAAAAAATTTGACATGTCATTGATATATATTGATATACTTACAAAGAAAATATAATATCTGGGGTTTGCTTTAAATATTCTCAAAATGTGTGGGAGAATAAGATGAAATAATATTGGCAAAATACCCCTAATTGTTGAAGTTGGATGACAGGTAGTTGGAGCTTATTATACTATTTTCTTTAATTTGTCTATGCTTAAAATTATCTGTAATAAAATACCTTAAAAATACAAGAAAATACAAATGACTTCCTTGGAGTGGGGAAAGGCCATTCTGACTATGATTAAAAACTTAGAATGTATTACAAAGTTTGAAAATTCAATTACATTAAGCAACAATAAATTCTGTATGACAAAAAAAAATCATTAAAAAAAAGCAAATAACCTGGGGAAATATTTTCAACTCATGTCACAGACAAAACAATGGATAATCTCACTAACATGGAAAGAGCTACTGAAAATTGGTAAGAAAATTATCAGCAACCCATCAGAAAAATTGGTAAAGGACATTAATAGATATTTTGTGGAAAAAATGAATAAAATGGCCTTTAAACAACATGATGTAAGCTGACCATCTTTTCAAAAAGAAGTATAAATTAAAACTATACTTTATAAATTCCAGATTTTGACTTGTCTGATCGATTAAAATGTTTTCTAATACTCTTTTGAGGAGACCATAGGAAATCAGTCATTTTCAAACACTGCTGGTGGGAATGTGACTCCAAGGAGCAATTTGGAAACATTATTAAAATTTCAAATGCATTTACCCTTGACCCAAAATCTCACTTCTGGGAATTTTTTCTACAGATGGTCTGCTTTCATGCAAAATAATATACTGCCATGATAGTCTTTGGAGTATTGTTTATAATAGCAAGTGATAGGAAAAAAACCCTAAGTGTCCATCAAAAGAGTATCTGTGTGTGTGTGTGTGTGTGTGTGTGTGTGTGTGTGTGTGTGTAGGGGGGGTGTATACATATATATACACTTAAAATGGAATATGATGCAGTCATTTGAAAAACATGGGATTTCCCTAGCGGTCCAGCAGTTAAGACTCTGGAGAAGTCTCCTTAAGACTTAAGACTTAAGACTCTCCTTAAGCAAAAGGAGAAGGGGGCGACAGAGGATGAGATGGTTAGATAGTATCACCGACTCAATGGACACGAATCTGGGCAAACTCCAGAACATGGTGAAGGACAGGGAAGCCTGGGGTTCTGCATTCCACGGAGTCACAAAGAGTCAGGCATGACTGAACAACTGAACAACAACAATGTAGAAGATAATCAGTAAACCAGTTTTTAAGATGTGAAACAAAATGCACAACTGCCATGAAAAGCATGTTCCACAAAAAATAGTTACCTTAATATGATATACAGAATTTTGACAAGCACACACAAAATTTTTTTTTATGTTCTTTAGCCCACATTGTTTATTGCCCCTAAAGAGCAATTTCTGTTAGGCTCTTTGAACTATGAGAAATGGCTTATCTTCCAGGATTCCAATTGAGGTTCTGAAATCTAAGAATTCAGCAACTCCCCATCTCCACATGACAGCTTCAGAGGTAAGAGGGGTCTATAACCCACTCCCATAGGAAAGGATGCAATGGTTCCTTGTGCACACAGTTAGGAGGGAAATTGCTATTTAGCTGAGTAACAAGTTAAATATTTATCTCGTGGCCTGTTTCTCAGCATTTCAGTTTCCTCACACATTGAATCAAGTATTGAGAGTTAATGCTAACATTGGGCAAGTCACTTAACCGCCTTGTGCCTCAGTTTCCATACTGTAAAAGGAGATAATAAAAAGTACAACCTTAAGGGAGTGAGTGAACATCACAATCACTTAGAATCATGTCTGAAGACAGTGCAAACTCAGTAAATATGAGCTGCCTACCTGTAACATCTTAGAGATGAGTATGTTGAAAACTCTGTCTTTGGAGCCAGACTTCCAGGGCTGCCTGAGAAGTTACAGAATGCATCTCTGTCACCATTTTCCTTAGACTAATTAGCTCTGGTACAAATGGAAATTATTTACTTTCAAAATTTTGACTTTACTAGTGTTGAGTGATTTATATGATCCTGTAGCCAGGAGGTCCCAGACCTACATTCTCTCCTTGGCAAATCTGTACATCTTCTTCCAAAGACAGTATTTGTTCATCACATCTTGTCTTAGAAATGGCTTCAGGCAAGGGTTAGGCAGAGACTAGCCACCCCTTTCCCCAACTTCTGTGTGAGGCCTGGAACACGGGGCGCAGAGGTAAACACCGCACACAGACAGGGGCGGAACCAACCAGCCCACCGCTTCCCCGGGGAGTTCAGAAGAGACACCGGATTGGGCCAGCTCACAGACAGAACAGACATGCAGATCTGGGATCTGGCACCTCCAAGCTTCCCTTTTCCATCACAGAGGGATGTTAAAGTGTCATGTGCTTAGTTGCTCAGTCGTGTCCAACTCTTTGCGACCCTATGGACTGTAGCCCGCCAGGCTCCTCTGTCCATGAGGATTCTCCAGGCAAGAATTCTGGAATAGGTTGCCATGCCCACATCCAGGGGATCTTCCCAACCCAGGTCTTCTGCATTGCAGGCGGCTTCTTTATCGTCTGAGCCCCCAGGGTT